TCAGAGATTGTCATTGTGTTGTAATGAAATTGATCAGAGATTCTTTGCTTCGCCTACGTGTTTGTAGCTGAAATTGGCCTCTTTTTTCTTTTTTTTTTTTGGGTCTCTTGGGATCTAATTTCGAACAGCGCGTAAAAAAGTAAAATCTATATAGCCGACCCTAATTAAATTGAGATTAAGGCTCATTGTTGTTGTTGGGTCTCCTGGTGATCTCTTTTGTTTATGCGTTTGACATGGGGCGGAAAAATGGAGATAAAGTGAGATTCTGGAACATTATCTTCCTGCAATGCCAAAGATAAACCCATGATCGAATGTTAGTATTGTATCTCCAGCACTGCCTGTTGAAGATAACGACGACAATGACGAGGGATGACACCAAAAATTTAGGGGGATAAGACTTTCTTGTGCTTATTTACGTTCCAATATGTATCTTTATTTGTACCACTGACGCCATTACATTATTGTTTTTTTTGCTCTGATATTGCATTATTGTGTTTATCATGGGTGCTTCTATTGTCCTTATTCTACATTTTTCAAACTCCTTTCTAATAAAATTTCTTATTGCTAAATTACCCATTAATAACATTTTTCAAACTCCTTTCTAATAAAATTTCTTATTACTAAATTACTCACTAATAAATTTGTTTTAAGGACAAAAGTATTTTTTAAAAAATGCTCACTAGACAGCCCACCTTAAAAAGAAATATTCCCTTATAAAATTAGTATGCCATATTCTTCTTTTCCAAAAGAATAAGAATAGATTCTAACGAGAAAAGGTCTCCATAAAAAATTAAATAAAAACACGTGTTTTTTTCTTTTTATATTCTTTTTTAAGAGTTTCTTTTGTAGGAATAAAAAAAATAAAATAAAATTTAAATTAATTTTCTGTTTTCAGCCTTTGAATTTATATTAAATATCATCTATTTTATATATTTTTTTAATTTAATGTGATTTTTAATTGACTTGACGGTTAAAAACTGACACTATCAGTATAACTGTTTTACGAGAAAAAACTATTAGTTTTGAAATTTTTGAGGAAAAAAAGCTTCCGTCTTTCCGATTCATAGAAATTTCAGAGATTGTCATTGTGTTGTAATGAAATTGATCAGAGATTCTTTGCTACGCCTACGTGTTTGAAGCTGAAATTGGCCTCTTTCTTTTTTTCTTTTTTTTTTGGGGTCTCTTGGGGTCTAATTTCGAACAGAATTACGTGAAAAAGTGAAATTCATATAGCCGATTCCAATTAAGTTGAGAATAAAATTTGTTGTTGTTGGGTCTCCTGGGTGATCTCTTTTGTTTATGCGTTTGACATGGAGCGGAAAAATGGAGATAAAGTGAGATTCTGGAACATTATCTTCCTGCAATGCCAAAGATAAACCCATGATCGAATGTTAGTATTGTATCTCCAGCACTGCCTGTTGAAGATAACGACGACAATGACGAGGGATGACACCAAAAATTTAGGGGGATAAGACTTTCTTGTGCTTATTTACGTTCCAATATGTATCTTTATTTGTACCACTGACGCCATTACATTATTGTTTTTTTTTTTTTTTGCTCTGATATTGCATTATTGTGTTTATCATGGGTGCTTCTATTGTCCTTATTCTACATTTTTCAAACTCCTTTCTAATAAAATTTCTTATTGCTAAATTACCCATTAATAACATTTTTCAAACTCCTTTCTAATAAAATTTCTTATTACTAAATTACTCACTAATAAATTTGTTTTAAGGACAAAAGTATTTTTTTAAAAATGCTCACTAGACAGCCCACCTTAAAAAGAAATATTCCCTTATAAAATTAGTATGCCATATTCTTCTTTTCCAAAAGAATAAGAATAGATTCCAACGAGAAAAGGTCTCCATAAATAAAAACACGTGTTTTTTTCTTTTTATATTCTTTTTTAAGAGTTTCTTTTGTAGGAATAAATAAAATTAAATTAAATTAAAATTAATTTTTTGTTTTCAGCCTTCGAATTTATATTAAATACTATTTAGTCTGTATATTTTTTTAATTTAATGTGCTTTTTAATTGACTTAACGGTTAAAAACCGTTTTTTGAGAAAAACTACCTTTTTGTTTTTTTTTTAATTCAACCTTTTAAATGTTATACTATTAGTTTTGAAATTTTTGAGGAAAAAAAGCTTCCGTCTTTCCGATTCATAGAAAGGCCCGTGATTGTTAAACAAACCCATATTGGTTGGAGTAGAAATAGTATTGTTTATTACATACGATGTTTAATAAATGATATGTTTGTTACCATTGAAGTAAATCAATTTCATCTCATAGTGGTTGATAGCAGCACACTACGACACGCTGCTCGACACCAGGGACGGAGAAAGACGGAGGAATAACGGACGGAAACGTTTCATAATCTTCATGAGCATAAATCACAGAATAAAAAAAAAAAAAAAAGCAATTTTCATTAGGATGGTTTGCACAAATTAGAATTAAGTCCAAGAGCATAAATGCAAGCCTCCATCAAAAGGTCTAATCTGCAATTTTCCCTCGTAACTAGGGACGCTTGACCTTTTGATTCCATGTATAATCTTCTTCTGCCCTAAGGAGATTCTGTGTGTTTCTTTTTTTTTTTTTTTTTTGTTGCTAAACTAAAATGATTCTAGTTGAATATAGTATATACACTACACATATATTTATGTCACACATACACGCATAAAATATGTAATTATCTCAAGTTTAATATATCTGTACACAATATGTTTTCTTTACGGGATGAAAAAAAGCGTTATTAGTAAAAAAATAACTTTTCAAATAATTTAATTTGCACAATACCTATGATAAAAAAAAAAATGTTATTTTCAAAGCAGCTTTTGTTTTCGTTCACAACTTGAAATTAAAACTGGCAAAGAAAATGACACATAAGAGCGACATTACTGTGTAAATCTTTAAAGAGGAATGTTCACCTTCATTGGTAAACCTCTCTCTCTCTCTCTCTCTCTCTAGATTGTCTTAAACAAAGATCTTCACCATCTACTTTTTGTTTCACAAACAAACAAAGAAACAAAAATTTTACCAGAAAAGAATTACAGAGATTGTTGAGGAAGAGAAAATGGATATGGGGTCAGCTGAAGTTTCAGTCCTGCTTAAACGAGGAAGATTTCTCGAGGGGAGGACGCCTTTGAGCCAGCATTTGCTTCGTTCTTTCAAGAACACCAAAGAAAATTGAGCCTCCAATGCCAATCCAAAGCACTCTTGGCGCGGTACCCTGGAGAAATGGCAGTCCAACAAAAAAGTAGAAGAAGCTAACTATCATTAAGATGAGAAGATCCAATACTTGTTTCACTATTATTTCAACAACTTGGATTCATATATTCTAGTAAATAAGTACAACTTAACAGTGGTCATTACAAGATGGTATGAAAGAACAAAGTGGGCTATGCTACCTCTAATTGGCGAAGAACATTTTGGTATGTGTTGAGTAAAACCACAAGACGTTTTTTGCAAAACATTACTAAAAAAAAAAATAGCAAGTTTAAGGTTGCACTTGGAGGCTTTTTTTTATTATTACTTATTTATGTTCTTTGAGGAGATACTCACCCTTCATTTCACTTTTATGAACAAAAAACAAAAAATGCGTCAAAGGAGGCTTTGAGTATCTCAATTTGTTTCTCTGGCTGGAAGAGTACTTGATCAACAATGGAGAGAGAGAGAGAGATATTCCAGTTCAAATGACATTAATCAAACATAAGAACAGATCAGTCGAACCTTGAAAAACACATGATTTCCTTCCTCTCTCATTATAGTCCGAACGCAATCACAAATCCCTTTATACTGTTTTGCTGATCCCTTCAAGAAATTTAAAAGGAAAATTAAGGAACGAAATGTTCCCAATAGCTTTTCCACAAAGAAGGATAAAAGAAGTGATAATCAGTACCTGAACCATTAATCTGGTTTTGATAACATCAAGAGGAGTAGTTATAGCTCCAGTTATTGCACCTGCAAGTCAAAAGAATTAAACTTAGGAAAGTGACATTAAAAAGGAAAAATCTTCAGCAAACACAATAATCAAGAACAAAAGGCAAGTTCAAGTCACTACATGGTATGCGGATGACTTTGTAATAAATTTCATATGTAAGATATGATGAGCTTGCTCTAAAGTATCAATAGTAGTTGACAAAATGGATTTGACAATCAAAACGAAAATATAACATGTATAATGACAAATACAAAAGTGACAAAAATGAAGATGAGCTTAAAATATGGCAAAGAAATGAAGGCATTAGTAATAATCATCTCAGATCTCAGACGTAAAAATAGCAATACTAGCTAGCAGTAAAACGCTTTCTTGTAGCTATCTTCTTGTTAGTATAAATGTTGTTTGTTATTTTATTTTCTCAAAGTCATTTTTTTTATCAGGAAAAGATATTGTCGAGTGTAGCAATAGTAACATAATTGACGAGAATGGTAATAACAGTAACAGAAACATAAGGCGTGAGAAAGCAAAGATAATTTATATAAATAATTTGAGAAATGTACTCGTAAAATGTAGGCCTTTGACTAGTTATTGAAGGACTTGCAGTACATAGCGTCAGAAGCTTGTATATCTACTTATCCTCTAAAAAGTGAAAAAAAACAAAAATAACGGAAGCCACTTCCTGTACTCCCCATAATGCTAAAAGCATTTCCTGGGTACTGAACTAACGCTCAGGAAGAATACTTTTTCCAAGCTACTAAGATCTTTCTTTTGGATTCTGATAAGTTTCTTTGAAGTCAAATCGTAGGAGTAACGGCCCAGTAAGGCTTCTAGATTAGAGATCAAACATTTAGAAAGTAATCACGGCTCAAGTTTTTTTAAAAAACTAAATTTTCAACATTGCAATTAAGGTTAGTATACATATAGGAAACTGCTTTCCACAATGAGATAGAGTTAGCTTCAAGTTGAATAATTTTTTACATCAGATTAGTGGTGTTAATGCTTGACAAGATTTATTTAAAAACGTCAAATAGTAGAAAAATGTTAGTCTTGGCATCAAAGCCAGAAAGATATACCAAAATTGTAATTACAAATTCTTGCGTCATGTACACATACCGGCAAAAGCGCCAATAATGGCAGTTTCAAGATCATTCGGCTCTCTCCTCGCCTGCATAAAAGGTGAAATTGATCACTTTATGGTAGAATGCAGGGCATTAAAATGAGCAGATTACTTTTGCAAGAAAGATGGAAATACTAAATAAGTCAAGTTAGGAAAACCTACTCGGAAATGTTCAAAAAATGTCTATCCAGTAAATCGAAGTTCATTGCTAAGGTTCAAAAAATTATGCATTAATTAGACGCCATATCTAAATTATTTTGCTCTTCACATTGATGTTTATGTACCTTCATCTAAACTGATAATTATCCTCTCCACCTACCGCTAGCTTATATCCTATCCGCATCTGCTCATACATGCAGAATTGAACAGCATCAAATGGCAAATCTCGCAATAGGAATGATCCATACCCCTGAAATCTCATAAACAAGGAAAAAGTCAAATGCATGAAGAATATGCCATGAAGTCAAGTGACAAAATATTGTTTTTACATGCATAATGTCACAAAAAATAGCTTTAAAAATCACACTGTGCTCGCCATGATTGTGTAGACTGTATCTTGTCCAAAAAGAAATGATCTATCATCTCTAAGTAAATAAGTGAAAAGCTGTAGACTGGAGTATAGAATCAAAACTCTAAAAATGGGGATTGACGTACTGCATAAAGGCCTTTAAAACCCTCTCTAGCAATAATAAGACGCACAGCAGCTGGTGCTGAAGTAAACTGCCCAGTTTGCATCCGTTGCTTAACAACCTAGAAAGAAATAAACAACCGTAAGCGAAGAATGAAAATACATAAAGAAATAGATCGAACCACAGAGTAAGGAAGAACAATGGGGGAAAATTAGCTATGCAACCTCTGTTGGCACACGTATGAGAGAAGAAGCAGCACCTCCAATAAAACCTGCAGTCTGTATTAAGTCTGGAGATTTATTATAATGAAAAGATAAATTCTAGAAAGTTTACTGAGGGGAAAAAAATCTTTATCTCTGCACTTGCAAGGAAGTAATATCAAAGGACAATCATTGTAGTAACCCAAAAAAATTGAAATTATATCAATATATAAATGCACAAAAGGCTAAGAGAGAAGATAGAGAGAGATCAATTGTTCAAATAACATGGACCGAGCGATCAGATTCTATTGATATACAGGCTTTTAAATTTTAAATCTGTAAGGGGCAATCATTAGATACCAAAAGCAAGTTCATCGCATTAAAATAGACCTACTTTTGCACTATTCTTAATGCAAATATGTCAAACGACAACCTGCTGTATGTGCTTTAGGTGAAGTGACAAATACCTATATTATAAGAGGTAACACGGAAAAAGAAAATTGAACACCAAGAGATAAAGAATTTTACATAGAGAAAACTCTCATCTTGAATATTGAGCATGCAGTCAAAAGTGCTATAAGATGAACCTTAAAAGATTACAAAATCATGCTTTCTCAACAAGAGAAAACGTCACACACTAGCGCACATGTACATGTGCATATATGTTAAAGTATAAACTATTATTGGTCCACCTCCTAACAACTTAGGGGTTGTTCTTTTGGAGTGTAATTTGAGTGTAATTTTTGAGTTGAATTTGAGTTATAACTTGAGTTGAAGTTAGAACTTGAATAAAGTTGAGTAAAATTGAATAAAGTTGAAACTTAAAATAACGTGAACTTGAATAAAGTTGAAACTTGAGTTGTCTTTTTTTGAGTTTTTTGGACAAAAGAACATGCCCTTAAGCTTTTGGGATGGATTGGTAAACTAACATGGTACCAGAGCGGGAAGTCCTGAGTTTAAACCCCCGTAATTACACTCTTTATCCCCATTTAAAATTGTCATCATGTGTTGGGTCTTTAATATATTTCGGGCTTAAATATTCACGTGTTGGGCTTTCCAATTAATTTACCCACACGATTGCCCATTGTCCAGCCCACACTTGAGGGGGAGTGTTAAAGTATAAAACTATTGTTGGCCCACCTCCTAACAACTTAAGCTTTTGGGATGGATTGGTAAACTAACAATATACATTATATTAAAACTTACCAAATGAGCTAAAGCACTAAGCTTTTCAGGAAAAGAAGTTAATAAGGTCTGCTTTGCAGGTTCATATACACCTACACATATAGCAGAAGCCCTGCAGAGAAGAGAAAATATATCAGCCCCAAGACACGCAACAAGCGAATAGACATTCAAAAGGAACTAGTTAGTAAACTGGATAGAAATATTAAGGAAAGACTATAAATGAATTCTGAAAGAAAAAAATAGCATGGAGAGAATGTTTGAAAGAGGAGAGAATACATAATCTCAGAGAAAGTTTACTCACGGTAAGGAACCAACAAGATTTCCAGCCAATCCAGAATATAGGTCCTTCAAAATGATTCTCCCTCCCCCATGAGCAATCTAAAATGGATTCGCAGAAACAGACAAAATAAGCAGATTGTTAACCAGAAAGAAAAAAAAAAAAGGTATAGCAGGCACGGATAATATAAGCAGATTGTTGAAAAACAAAATGTACAGCAAAGAAAATCAAGAAATAGGATAAAAAGGGGTATTTACGTAATGAAATAGGATAACAGCAATCCTTCATTTTCAGGGATCGCATATACTAGTTATTAGAAGACGATGTTCATTCTAAAACTTACGAATTATACATGCAGATTAAGCAATTATCAATGGATATAGCAGAAAAAATTAAATAGCAATAGTTGCAGATAGCAAAACTTGGAACAAGATCATCTAGTCTTATATGGTGGAAAAGATTCTGATGCTCCCTGCCTAAGATATTAGCTAACTTTTTTTTTTTTTAGGAAACTAGGAAAACTATACAGAAGAAATTTTTGGACAGATAGATATCCAACCTAAAAGGGGAAAAGAAATACAAAAAAAAACAGAAATAAGGAAGGCGAAAATAACAAAGAGAGACAACTCAACAATTACAGACCAAATGTCTCCTATAAAAAAAAAGGCGGACCAGTGCCAAAGAGGCTCCCGTACTATGACAAGCTCGGGAGAAAGCTTAATCCCATATGTACGCGGCCTCACCCCCCGAAGGAGAGGCCGTTTCCGGGATTCGAACCTTGGACCCCGGGTGCAAACGCAAGCGCTTCCACCACGGTGCCAAGGCTCCTATATCAGCCTAAAATATTCGCTAGTAAGAAGCACATTACTCTGAGATGCCATTACCTCACAAAATAAATTAAGAAGATAACCATCTAATTTGAACCCCAATGTAGAATGTGTATGATATAATATATATATATATATATATATATATATATTTATATTTACTCAAAAAATGTCCAGAATAAGTATTTAGCATACTTGACATGCCTGTAATCTGGTTTTTATTGTGTCAATTGGGTATAAGACTGCTTCTACAATGACACCTGCCACACCTCCAGCTACACTACCCTCTGAAAAATCCACAACAAAGAGAGACATTCCGATCTTTAGACTTGCAATTCCAACGTAAATTTGACGCATGAGCAAAAACTAACGGAAGTTTGGCAAGACAAATAACAGCAAGAGCTCTTTTTTTCCTTTTTCTTTTTAGTATTGGAAAGAACAAAATAACAATAAATATAAAAACATGAACAAACTTTGAAACATATATCATTAGCAACCAAAACTGATGTTATGCTTTTCCATTAAGACCCTGCTAAATAGCTGATATAAACCATGAATTATTTAAGGTTTAACTCAATTGTTCGCTTCAAACAGTCATGATTATGGGGCTGTTATTTGGACTTCAAAAAATGTAGTAACTGTTTGGTTCACGGATTCAAACCAGATGGTCCAAATCAAAATTCAAATTTTTGTGAGAAAAGACATTGTAGCAAAACCATTTGAACTGGGATTAAACCCCTTTACCAAACATGCTAGTAGTAATCCACTATGTGACTATGAGCCTAGTGAACAAAATGTACACAGATTCTTCCCTTTATTATTTAAAAAATAAAAAACAAAGCTTTTTTCCAATTTTTCTTGAACCTCCATGTTTTCAGCTAACATGTGAACACGTTTCGAACCAAAAATGTTTACAGACTACTAATAATTTAAAAATTAAATAAAAAAATCAATAAATATGTTAGATTAGCATCCAAAAAAAAAGAAAGAGAAAAAAGAAAAACTTCTAAATGTACCGTATAAAGAGCGAAGAAAATCGAATGGCTTATCTTCTCCTGTAGTGATCGATGCGAAGAAATTTGATTCCATTTGAATGCTATTCCTACCACACGCCAAGGCATCTGAAAAATGAAATCATTTAGCCGGGAAAATATATATATATATATAAATTCATTACCGAGATGGGAGAACAATAAAAAATTCAATTTGCCAAGTACAAGGAACGATCGTGAACGTCTTGTCATTTAAAGTCAGGTTTTAAGTTGAAGTCCTTTTTTCTTTTGTTGTAAATTTCCCTCATTTTCTGAGAGTCCAAACAAACGTACAAAGAGAACGCGATGTGTGCGTGTTTGTGTGTCGTTCCATAGAAAACAGAGGAAAGGGAAAGATAATGAAATCATAAAACTTCCCTTTTTCGCATAAGGATCAAACTGGAAAAGATACCGATGAAAGCAGGAGATAATTACCAGATGAATCTCTCGCGGCATTTTTTGAATGCATTGCGATTGTCAACTGTATTATTTTATTTTGGTTTTGATCAAATCAATCTCTGAGCTCTGTAGTTAATGACTGAAAGGGGAACACAATGACATCGTTTTCTCAAGCATCTAAATTACATTCTCACCCTTTTACAAGTTTTTTCTTTTCTCTTTTTTTTTAATCTCATAAATAATTCCTTAAGATTTATTTTAAATTTCACATTGATCCTTAACTTTTTTAAATGTTTCATAATTAATTTTAGAAATATCTTTCTTTTTCAATTTTAATCCTTATATTAAATAGTGTTAAATATTTGATGACATTTATATAAATTAAAAATAATGACTAAAACAACCAAAAAAAAAATTTACTCTACATGTTTTGTAGAGCAAACTTTTGGGTGCATTTGGAATTAGTTCCAAAACGTTTTTATTTTTTGTATGAAAATGAAAACGAAAACGTTTTTATTTTTATTTTGAAATCATTTCTGAAAATGCGTTTAGTAGTTTTATTCCAAGATTATTTTCAGTTTAAAAAAAAATGAAATTGTGTTTGGTGGTTTAATTTTTAAAAATATGTAATAATATTTAAATTAATAATATATTAAATAAATAATAACCCTTAGTTAATAATTATATAAAAAAATACCTTTAGTTAATACAGTCTAAACCCTAATTTGTTGTCACTCTCAATACGCTTCTCTCTCTCATCTCATCTCGTCGCTCTCTCGCTACCCTCTCTGTCTTCGTCCCACTTTCTCTGGTTTCCTCTCTCTCCGCCGTGTCGTGGCTAAAGAAAGCACGCAATCTGACTAGATATCCGGGTAGATCCGGTGCCGTTCATCTCGCGCGTCTCATATTGAGGATGCTATGGAGAGCCGGTGCCATTGGTGGATCTCGCCGAGTTCGAGATCCGTGAGGATCGACGTTCAATCTTTCACCGACTTCAACCGTGGATTCTGCAAGATCTCCTTCCTCTCTTCTCTTTCCGCCCCCTTTCTCTATTGTCGCCATGTCTAGACAAGACGTTGTCGCTACGACGGACGTAATCATCGTCATCGTTCGCTTCATCACCATGAGATCGCGGCGGATCCAAGATCTCAGATCCTAGCTCATGTGTGTTCTCTCTTGCTCGTCCCTCGCCGCCATGGATGCAGCCTCGCGTTTGGTTCCGGTTCCATGCGGTGAGAGCATCGGATTTGGGTTTGCTAGATTTTTCCTTGAGTCAAACAAAGTCATGCGTGTTCTAGGTCAATCTGTTGCCGATGAGATCAAATCTGGTCTTTACAGTCTCGAAAGTTTGGAAATGAAAACAAGAAAAATGAAAACGGAAAAAATTCGTTTTCAAAAAGATGAGAAAAAAAGAGAAAATGAAAACGGGTGTTTTTAGTTTTGATTTTAGAAAATTTTACACCAAACGCGTTTTCTTACGCATTTTCAATTTTTTTCTCGAAAATTGTGAAAAATAAAAACGAGACCGAAAACAAACAGGCCCTTTGTTTTTTTTTTTTTTTTTTTTTTTTTTTTTTTTTTTTTGCTTTGAAATTTTTTTTATATTTGTAAATTGGCAACTTGTCCTCTAGAAAAGATAAAAAAAAAAAAAAAAAAAAAAAAAAAAAAACAAGAAAATTAACCCTTAAATTTTCAAATGCAAAAAAATTAAAAACAAAAAACAAAAGTTGCTGATTGAAGGAGAGTCGCCGGCGACCCAGATCGCGACCAACCCTTAAGAGGGGTGGTTTGGGGTCGCCACCGGTGACCCCAGATTGCGGTGGGTCGTGACCCACCCTCCGGTCGCGTCCTCGTCACAAATCCGGTCGTGATTCGCGGCCGGACTAAGATCATGCGGAGGAGAAGCTCGTCAAAGGAGAAGACGCTCATCAGAGGAGAAGATCGAGCGGACGACTGGGACCAAAAAACGCTCATCAGACGAGCTCGAGAAGCTCACGTCGAAGGACAATGAGATCGCGTGGCGAAAGGGAAGAAGATTGAGCAGCGGAGAAGAAGAAAATCGAGCGGCGGATGAGAAGAAAATCGCGCGGCAGAGGAGAAGCAAAATGCGTCACGTCGGTGGGGGAAGGTGAGTTCGTGCGCCGTGAGGGATGGTTCTCGTTGTCGTGGGTCTAGAGGAGGTGGTTTCATTCCGAGCCATGGAGGCGGAAGGGCGGCGATGATGGATGGTTCGCCGGAGGTTTTTTTTTATAGTATTTTTCGTTGTTTTTTGGTAATTAAGGAGAAGTTTTATCCAGTATGGGCTTGTCTACTTTTGTTTCCATGGGAACGTGAATCTATTGGTTGAAATGGTTTGATGATATCAATATCGAAGTTGATGACAACGTATTGTAATCACTTCCAAAAAAGAAAGGTATTAAAAGGTAAAAACAAAATGCTTTTTTTACGAGTTTAAAATTTGAGTTTTATTACGATAAAAATTTTCATAAATAGTTATAATTTAAATTTTTTATTACAGTAAAAAATTTTTACATAAAATTACATCTTAAATTATTTAAAATTTGAATCAATAAATTAAACGGACTGTGTAAATATGTTGTGTTTCAAACCAACAACCAAGTTAATACTATTATCATCCACAGTTTACACAAATACATTTTAAATTGATTGTTTTGTATATCTCACCACAAATATCGAATAAAACAAGTACACAATCATTAACCCTGATTAGAAGTGTTCGTTGATCTGATTACTACTATTTAATATGTTACTGCGAATTGAAAAATTTCAATCTATTAAGATCATTATAGTCTGAGACTCTCAATCCAATATGAAAATAACGAATTCTGCATATTCACATATTAACTTATGTTTTGGACCTTGACTCTTGTAATCCCTCTTTTTTCGATGTTCTTATAAAATTATTAATAAAATTAAACACAAATATAACATAACATAAAATTAAAATAATTTTACAAATCAAATATTACAACACAAAATCTAACATAAAATTCAAGTATTTGACACAAAATCTAACATAAAATATAAGTCTCTGACAATACTTTAAAGTATATCATACAATTAAAAATGAATTTGTTATATGTGTTATTTAAAATATATAGAAAAAAATATATAATAAACATAGTTTAGAAGTGGATGATGCGGATTTTAATCTGTTACCAATCTAAATCTCTTTTAAGCTAATTTAGATTATGCGTATTGGACAGATTGGCGAATTCAATGAACACCGTTAACCCTGAGTTACCTAAGCCTGGTTTATTTCGCGAATTCTAGTTTTTAATTCGAGTTAAGATATGATATTTTTCAAGAGCTTTTAACTGTAGCATAAAAAGTTAGATGTGACATTTTATTAGAGCTTTTAACTGTAAAAATTTAAAACTGAAAACTCGAATCGGTGAAATGAACGAGGACCTAGACTCTCGACTCTAGAAACTATTATGGCCAAGTAAAATATGTAAAAAATCATTAACGCTAACTTATCCAAACTATTGACACCTAAAAATAGGTTTTTAGGAAGAGGGATTGAAGTATTTAGAGAAAGATTAAACCTCGTTCATTTCACCGATTTTAGTTTAAAATTCGAGTTTTATTATAGTAAAAAGCTCTTAAAAATAGTCACATCTAACTTTTTACTACAGTAAAAAACTTTCACATAAAATCATATCTCAACTTGAATTAAAAACTCAAATTAACAAACTAAACGGACCCTAAAAAACAAGGGACTTTAACAAAGAGGGGATGTGGTTAGAGACTTTGTGAACTGTTAGGATTTATAGTTGGTCGACAATGATTTGTAAAGTTTGGAGTTCACACACTTTAACAATTGTTATATGAAAAGTATGATGAATTCTACCATCATAAAGAGTCACAAACTTTTATGATTATTGAAAGGTACACTTAAATAATTATTTTTAATTTTGACGTTTGAAATTTAATTTTTTTTATGAGAAAAAAACATTAACAAATTTTTGTGAAACAAACGGGACCTTTGCTTAGCATCCAAATTTTAGACAAGAGTCACAAACTTTTACGGTGGGTCTGAAAATTTTGTGAGACGAGAAAACATTCCTCAACCTTGAGTTTGATTATATGAAACAAGCGGGCCCTTTGCTTAGCATCTAAAATTTCGTGAATAAGTTTTTTGTTTTAAATGTTTAACTCAATTCATATATTCACGAAAAAGAAATAGAAATGATTATTATTACTGATGTCCCTGAACTTTGAAGTCATTCTCAATTTACCATCTGAACTTTAAAAACTCACTTTGTCTCCTAAATTTTGAATTTATCTCACTTAACCATTTTTTTTTTGTAATTTATATTAAAATAAGACAAAAAAAGTAGACGTTTAGGTATGACTATGTGGTTTTTATTAACTTATTTTTAATAGAAATTAAAATAAAAATATCACATGACTGTATTACTCACTTTTTTCTATATGTTTTAAACATAAATTACAAAAGAAAAAATTAAGTGAAAACAATTTAAAGTTCAGAGAGTAAAATAAAATTTTTAAAGTTTTAAAAGGTAAACTTAGAATAATCATAAAGTTTAAGGGATATAAGCGATAATAATTTAAATAGAAAACTTACTGCAATCTAAAAAATAAAATTAGTGGACGTTTGGTTCACGGATTCTGAACTATGTTCAGAATTATTCTTGATTTACGTATATTTTTTATGAGAAAAATTACTGTAATGAGTCACGAATCATGATTCGAACCATAACGCGAATCATTATACCAAACACCTAGTAAGAAAGCTAAAAAACTGTTGACAGCTGTCAGTTTCAGACCGTTGAATTTCTTTCGCCGTTTCCAATCCAACGATACGTATTGGTCCACGAATCTCGTGTCTTCAACAGGCAGCCATAGTTCCGTTTCTTTACCCACCCACCCAAAGTATCTTCTCTGTCTCTCTCTCTCTCTCCTGTTTCTTTCTCTCTCTCTCTCCAATTTTCTCTTCTACGCCGCTGCACCGGCGAATTTCGGCAATCGTCATCCGGCGAGTGTGGCAACCGCTTCAGTCAGGTTTGCTCCTTCTATCTTTCAGTTTCTTTCTCCGGCGCTCTATTTAGGTTTTCATGAAATCGATATCGAAGTACTGATCGAATTCCTTTAATTCCCGTAACTACAGAGTTCTGTTTTTCAAAATTTTCCTTTATTTTGGGTTTTCAATCTCTGGTAGTGCAAAGGTTTTGATGTAGTTCTTACTCGTATCACTGATTTCCCAAACCCTAGCTCAACTTTTTATGCTTAGCTCTATAATTTTTCCTTTTTGGCCTAATTTCTTGCTTTGTGAATCACCTTCAATTGCCGTTGTTTTTTTTTAATAGAATTCCAAGATTTTTTTTTAATAAAATTCCAAGATTTTTTTTTTTTGGATACCGATTTCTTGACACTAAACCTTGGGGTTTCCTTTTTTTCCTGTTGTTTTTGTTTTTTTCCGATTAAACCACTTTTGTTCATTTAGTTAATTTTTGGATGAAAATCACTTTAGTAATAATCACGCGTATGCTAAAATTTTTTGAATGAAACAGAAATATAAAACTCAATATGTTTTCTTCATTTTCTTTCTGCTTGGCCTGGCTGAAAATTCTTGGTTGAAGATCTTTCAGATGTTGTAACTTGTATGAAGGCGGATACCAATACTTGCATTAGTTTGGTTTAGTTCAAGGCTTAGATGGGATAGTAGATAGGTGGGTTTAGTTGGATTTGAATTACAGCGAATAAGTTTGTCATCTAGACACACCACTCAGAGGCTCGTTTGTTTGACATTTTTTTTATTTTTTTATTTTTTATTTTGCTGTCAATAATTAGAATCCGTAAAAAAATTTCACAAAGAAACCTAAGGGCTAATTTGAGCAGGTAAGCATGTGGTTAGGCTGCGTGTTTCGGGATCAATTCCTTAGCGTAGTGAATGTGATTATGTGACCAATAATCACGAGTAAATTTGAAAGAAGCAGCTGCTGAAATGCTTAAATTAGGTAGATCCCCTTTAAATTCAAGTGTTGAATTATTGGCATGCGACTTGGTAGTTGGTACTATGGTTTTTTAATTAGTTTTTGGAAGGGGCCCACAAGATTTACAGTAAGTTAATATTATAAAATAATGATAGCGATCAGAACTCATCAATCAAATGTCAATGCATCAATCTGAACTCATGGATTTGACATAGCTAGTGACTGTGATTGATAGTAGAGGCTTTATTGGCTTCTTCTAATTATTTCTATTTTACTTCTTTCCACTAGTTTTATTCTTGAGTTTGATTATTTGAGTGTAATAAAAAGTTATTTTTATATACAGAAAGTTATTGGTTTTGTATGTTAAGATGGTCCGCAAGCAGTACTGTTATGAAGAATAAGAGAATCTGGTGGGAGTCATAAGTCATGTAAGACGTTGTTTGGGCTGCATCCTATCATCTTGAAAATCATTACGGAGTCCAAACTGTTTGTCTTATTTTTCCCTTAAAAATGCATATATGAATTTTTGCTTTAGACCGTTCAGAACAATGTTGGCCTTGCATGTATTATTGAGGTTTTTTGTTTTGTTGTTAACTTGTTATTGTGTAAAGCTATTCCAGTATTCGTTTGAAGTTTGATTTTGAAGGCCAACTCCTTTTGAAGTCTAAGGATGTGAAAGGTTTCTTTTTAACATTATACATGAATTTCTGTTAGAACTTAGAAGAATGTGCAGGGCATTGCATTACTAAAACAACTCTGAACGTGTTATGTATATTCTGATCAACAGTCATACTGAACTTTTGCAAGAAGAATGTGCAGTGCATATCATTAATCATTATGAAACAACTTTGAACGTCAATTTTGGCCTCTGATCACTTTGCTAATTTTTATGCTTTGGCGCATATCATTAAGAATCGCCTTAGCATCCTCTTTTGCAATTTAGTTTTATATTTGTTTCCTCTTTAAAGTTGCATTAGATGCTATGCTATTTCTTCCGATGTTTGAAGGATTATTCTTAGGCTTAGCAAAAATAAAAAGTTAAAAATCTTTCAAGAATTAGGCATCTATGATATTTCAATTCTGTAGCCTGCAGAAATCTTCAATTATGCACCTTATTTCCAATGTAATTATCTGATGTAGAAAATTTAATAACGCTCAATGGATAATGCCTAATGTGGCACGTTTGGTGTAGCAAATGAGATAAAAGTATTAGTTCAAGTTTTAGAAACAGGACAAACATTCTGATGTGTATCTTACCAATGTGAATGTATTCTTTTTTGTAGGTGAAGAAATAAATTGATTCAATTGCTTACTAAAGAAAAAAAAAATACAATCGATATTGTGGGGAAAGGAGAAAGGATATTCATTAAGATTCTAGTACTCCTACACACTTTAAAGTGTTGATTGCCAGAGCTTCTTTGCTTGTTGAGCAACGTGTGCCAAACCAGTATTCTTTAAAGCCCCCCCTACATTTTCTAGGTCTGTTCTTCCTTGTTTCACCCTCCATTTAAGTTGTGCATCCTCTCTCCTCTACTTTGGCTTTCCTAGCAACATGTCATCATCAGGTGGAAACTCCGGTGGAGGTGGTATTGGCATCAGTGCACCTCAACCTTACTTCTGCCACCAGTGCAACCGCACTGTAAGCATCACTCCCTCACCAACCTCTGATCTGGTTTGTCCTGTTTGCGGCGGTGGCTTCCTCGAAGAAGTTCAAAACCCTAATCCATCCCCTGAACCTAGCCCTAATTCCTTCTTCTCCTTTTCATCTGATGATTCCTCCTTTGGTGCCAGGGGATTTCCTCTATTGTTCACCACCACATCCTCCTCTGGTCATGGTGGTGGTGCCTTGGTCGATGATCTTCCTGCCCTCTTCGGTGGTCCGCTAACCAGAGTGTCACAATCTGAAGACACTGATGCGTTCAATCCATTTGCGTTCCTTCAAAACTATTTACAAACTTTAAGGGCCACTGGTGCCAATGTTCAGTTTGTGATTGATGGCAACCCTGGGGACCCCGCTGGGTTCCGTGTTCCTACTAATCTCAATCTTGGGGATTACTTCTTTGGCCCTGGACTTGAGCAATTGATCCAACAACTTGCAGAGAATGATCCAAATCGTTATGGAACCCCTCCAGCATCAAAATCTGCCATGGAAGGACTTCCCTCAGTAAAGATTACAGAGGAACTATTGGCTTCAGACTCATCACAGTGTGCTGTGTGCAAGGACACATTTGAGCTTGGTGAGGAGGCAAAACAAATGCCCTGCAAACACATTTATCATTCTGAATGTATTCTGCCATGGTTGGAATTGCATAATTCTTGCCCGGTGTGTCGATATGAGTTGCCCACTGATGATCCTGATTACGAACAGAGGAATCGTGGGACCTCTACACCTGCAAATCAAAGTCAAGCAGCTGGGGGGTTCAATATCTCTGTTGGTGGTGGCAGCATTAATGCCGTTGGTGATGGTAGTGGAAGTGGGGCAACCTCTGGAGAAAATCCTCAGACACCAAGAATGGTGGAGCGGAGGTTTACCATTTCATTGCCGCAGCTGTTTAGGGTATTTGGTTCAACTGCTGAGACAAGTAACACTGGCAGCGGTAACAACAATGGAAACAATGAAGGTTCAAACTCGGAAAACAGGGGAAATCAGAGCACTGGATCAGAGCCTAGACATGAAGATCTTGATTAAGGATTATCGGTACTGCACTTGTAACCATAATATTTGCTTATTCAGTCTTTTTTTTTTCACGTAGATTAGATAATTTTGTGGTGCTTTATTTTTTGTAGTATTCCTATTACCAAATCTATAATCGAGCGTCTTATCAGCTCAGAGTGGGCATAATGTGAATGAATTAAGCATTATCTCAAAGTATCCTTGCATACAAGAAATTCCTGTTTAAAGAGCATAATGTGAATGATGTACTGAGAGAGAGAGAGAGAGAAATCAGTTAAAACAACTTTTCCATTTTAGTGATATATGCTTCTTCGTTTGTCGTCTGCAACTTTAGACTTCTTCTGATGTATATTACTTTTGCATACTAGACCAAAAGAATTCTGGAAGAATGACTCGTGACACCCTTTCTTTAGGTGTCACGGATTTTGCGGATTATATCCACATAATACTGCTGACTTATCCGGAACTTGGAGCTAATAATAAGAACAAATATGTCCCTTTAACAACCACAGAGGTTTATTTAGCAAAAAGATAAATGAATAAATATATGTTTTTATTTGAAGAATAATTTTTAATTTAATTATTTTTATTATTTTAAATTTCTAAAAGGATCAGCGTATCTGATAAAATTCGAGACTTGGCGTATTAATCATCAGTTTGCTTACGTGTATATATAAATATATATATATATATGAGACTAAAAACCTTTTGATATTAAGCATTTGTGGCTAAAAATTATTATTTTCGTGAAATTCTACATTCTTAATTTTATTGTGCACGTATCCATGCAGGTTGATGCTACTTGGTTATAATATTGAAGATATCCAACAAAATGAATACAATGCATGGTCGAAGCAAGTACAGTGTAAACAGAGTAGACATTTTTTTATATGTTTTTAAGCTCAATGTGCACATTTAATTGACAGGGTTTTTGGGATTTCCGTCTGAATGAATCCATTTTGATTCAGTATTTCTCTTTTGTCATCTAAAACTACAGTACTGAATTTTTGGTCACAGGGTTATTTCTCAACTCAAGTTTACAGCACATAATTTTCATATAATTTTTCTACGTAATTATGCTTATCTTTTCTGACGGCTTGATAATCCAAATTATTGTTGTTAGGAGTGCTAGTGCTGTCAATTAGTTTTAATTCCAAGTTTCTAAATTCTTTTGGCAAATTCTCCAGAGGAAGGAAGAATTTGTAGAGGAAAAGGTAACTTCTTTTCATTTCATTTTTCTTTTCACAATATTTAATATTCTACGAAAGTTGTCCTTAGATCATTTCCTCTTCACGTCAGCAATCTGCATTAATAATAATAATAATAATAATATTATTATTATTATTATTATTATTATTATTACTTATCTTTTGAGTCCACTTTAGCCAATCTGCGTTGAAATGCCGGGGTATGCTTTCTGCTTTCTGGTAGGAGTTGATAGTTTCTTGAATTCATATTGAAAGAGTATGAAAGATATCTCTCCATAAAACTTTTATTTCTTTTAATACTGCTTCTCTTTTGTCCTGAAATCGTTTTTTTTTTTTTTTCTCGGATCATTATTTTTTATTTCCTAAATTTTGTGAACCCTGAAAGCTTTTTTTTTTTTGTTGTTCTAATTTATACTAGAAGACTTCATGTGAGCCGGCATTTTAAGTCCATATCCAGAGCTCTTGAAGAGATGTCTTAAAAATTAACACATTTTTCGAATTGAGCAAGGACGTTCTTTGTAATTGTTAGGTTGAAATAAAAGCAAGGGCCAAGATAATAAGCTGCTCGCTATTCAATTTTACTTTTTTATTTTATTTTATTTCTTTGTGTAAAAGATTGTGAGAAAGGGGGTGCGATTTTCACTTATTTGAAATAATATTTATTATTCTTTAAAAAAAATGATTATTTATTCAAGAAAAAGAAAAAAGAAAAAAAATCTGAATTTTGCATTTTTTTTAAAGGTGTGAATACAAGAGAAACCAATTTATGATATGTTGCTGTTGGCACGCATCTATCAACCGTTATCAATCCTTCCATTTCCGGACAATTTTTTAAGGCTTAAATCTCTTCGTTGTCTCAATGTGGGGTACGTTTCAATTGGATCCTTTGATAAGATATGACACTGCATTATTTCTATAGCGATGTTATTTAATTCGAGATTTGAAAATTGAACTATTGACAGGTTTTTGTTTTTTTCCGTTAGATTTATAATAAAAATATATATTTTATATATTTTTTCATTTTAATGTAATTTTAAACAGATTTAATAATCGGAAACTTACATTATCAATCTAAACTCCTACGGCAGGGTGCTCTTATTTGATTTTAATTTTTCTTTTTTAATTTGAGGCGTAATATTTGTACGAAATCCGACCTTTAACAAATACAACATTTGAGTATACGTTCCTTACTATTTTCTCTACGTAAATATATTCAATAATAAATAAATAAATAAAAGTGAGAACTTCCATCTTCGAAGGCTAATATATTTTATATTTTTTATTTTAATTGCTACTAATATTTAAGTGCGTCTAATAGCCAAACTGTACACTACTTTCTGCTTTCTTCTCCTTCTTAAAATTATTAATTATTCAAGGCTTAGAATTTCTAATTGAGATGAGGACAAATTAACTTTCAGGTATGCAAGTGTAGTTTAAGTATTATAATTAAATATAAGCTTATGTTGACCAAACCTATACATAATAAGACTATTACAAACATATGTTTCACATTTTGATTTACTTTCCACAGTTCTAATAAACAACTTAATTATTTCTTCTACCAACCATCAATATGAAACATTAACCTAATTGTTCCCTTATCCATTCCAAGAAATAGTAACTCAAATAAAATAAACATTAGATCAAAATTTATCCAAGTTTGTCGAGAAACTTTGAAAAATTGCAACGAGTGGCCGACATTAAAAGAATGACCCATATTTTATTTTATTTTATTTTGAAAGAGGTTTTTAGACGAGAATTTAATTAATCTTACTTTTGTCCTTTCCTAGTTCATGTTAAACACCAAAGCAAAATTAAGAAATTTTCCCCACTCAATTCCAATCCCCCACGCAAAGTTATCCTCCCGTGATTCCTTTTGTAGTTACTCAATTATTAGATAATATAATGAAAAACAACCCTATTATATGTCTATTGTTTACTACGTCTCGTTCATTTCACCGATTTGAATTTAAAATTTGAGTTTTGTTACAGTAAAAATCTCTCAGAAACAGTCACATCTACTTTTTTTACTACAATAAAAAGCTCTCACATAAAGTCACATCACAACTTGAATTAAAAACTCGAATCAGCGAACAAAACGGGTCCCTGTTATAATGAAGAGTAGTATTATCAAATTTCATTACTAAAAAATTCAGTCATACATTTAAATAATGAACTATATAGTAATTCATTAAAAGTATATAAGTAAATTTGACATTTATTATCTTTAATAATAATTAGGAAAGTGAATCACTCATCACTTTACATTTTCCCTTGATGCAAAGTAAAAACACCCTTAGAAGTAGATTAACTTGTCTACACTAAATGAAGGCGGGAAAAAAATATTAAAAGTGAGGTTAATGTGGGATAAAATTGCATTTTTTTTCTTTACTACAGTGATTGAGTCAATGATTTATCAAAGTAAATCAATAATTTACTCAGTGAGTCAATGATTTATTTTTTACCTAAACTGCACAAAAATACACCTATATGATTTTTTTATGTTTATAATATTTTTCTTTATACGTTATTTTCTATTGCCCATAGTCATATAAAAGGTTCCAAATTACTAAAATGCGCCATACCACACTCATATCAAAACTTAATACTCTACTTTTTATCAGTTAAGTGTCCCCGTTCATTTCACTGATTCGAGTTTAGAATTTGAGTTTTACTATAGTAAAAAGCTCTCAGAAACATTATATCTAACTTTTTTGTTACAATAAAAAGCTCTTATATAAAATCACATCTAAACTTGAATCAGTGAACTAAACGGGCTCGAAATAAAACCTTAGCATCCTCCCATTCTATCCCCTCTCCCATTCCCATCAGTGAAATATTGAAAATATTTTTTTGTCTTAAGCCTTAACCAACCAAACCAAACTGCGCAAATCACTTTTGAATTATTTTGTTTAGTTTGACTTTTGTCAAAATTATCAAACCACCTAAAAAAAGATTTTATTTTCGATTTGACCTATAGTTTTTAAAAGAAAAAAGGGCTCAAACCGTCCATGAACATCATAAAAGGATTAGGGGTATCGAATAGTAAGTTTACATTAGGTTAAATCATGCCTGAGTTGAAGCCATGCCAGTTTGTCTATAAAATGTCAAGTTAATTACAAATATGTCTATTATGCAAGAGATAAAAAAGAGAACGCCAACAAATTATGATATTAGCACATAACCCTATAAAACAACCTGTAATGACATCCCTATCTTTTTGTTAATCACCCTTAAAAAGTGTATACAGATTCATAACCACGCACATAAAATAGGGTATATATGGAATGATACTATATCAATAACCATGAAATAGATTAATGACCCGTTTAATTCGTTGATTCGAGTTTAGATGTGATTTTATGTGAGAATTTTTTACTGTAGCACAAAAGCTAAATATGATTGTTTATGAGAGCTTTTTACCGTAGCAAAACTTAAATTTTAAATTCAAATCGGTGAAATGAATGGGGCCTAAAGGAAATATAAAGATCGAAATAAAGACGAGGAAGAAGAGGGTGAGGAGAATGGACATGAAATTGAATATCTGTCAACCCAGAAAAAGTCTCGAGTGGTTTGGTCTCTAGAGCTGCATAGAAAGTTTGTTGCCGTTGTGCATCAATT